GCGGAGCGTGAGAGTAGAGCAGGACGCCGTCGTAGAAACCTCCGGCGATCAGGTTGAACTGAGGGACAGAGGAGTCCAGTTCAGAGAGCACTGGTACATGGACCATGGTGCAGGAGGAGGCTAACTTTGTTAGCTTCACTGCTAATGACACATGTGTGGCTGTAGTTGTGTTGTAGTTTTAGGGTTAGTCATGTCACCAAAACACATTAGAACCAGTGATGCTAACTCTGCTAACACTGCTCCTGGACCAGGTGTCAGTGACCATGTGTCTGTTACCAGCGAGTCCTGGACGGTGAAGTTGAACATCTCCTTTGCGTCTTTCTTCAGGTCCTGGACAAACTGCCGATACTCCGGACTCCGCGGCTCCAGGTACGTCAACACCTTCACACTCTGGACACAGGACCAGCGTCAACACCAGCGTCAACACCAGCGCACTTCCTGTCTGAATGTTAGCTTATCTCACCCTGAAGGCCAGTCGGGCCGCGCTGTCATCCTGGTCTCCTCTGAACCAGGGTCTGCTCGGACCTGGTCCACTTAAGGCCTCGGCAAACAGGTCAATGAAGAAGAAGGCGTAGTCCTTCAGGTCCACGCCTTCCTTCCAGAACTGGACCATCAGAGTACGAAGGACGTCCCTGGGACAGCAGAGGTACACCACTGAGGAGGAGAGACGAGGAGGTCAGTTACTGCTCCTCTGACTCCTCTGAGATCAACAGCTGGTTCTGGAGGAACTAGTCTGACAGTTGACCAGGTTCTAGTCAATGACTGGTCAATAAGACTGGAGACAGTTGACCTTTGACCTGAGGACAGGACAGAGGAGACTGAGACATCACTCCAGTCTTCTCTGGTTCTGTGTCTCCGTCTGATGACCTCACAGATGCCATGGTAATTGATGCCATGGTAATTGTCAGAACACCCCCCCCCCCCCCCCCCCCCCACCTGACCAGGTAAAGCTCGTTAGGCTCGTTATCAGCAGCAGATCAGAGTCAACGTCATGTGATATGACCACACACACACACACACACACACACACAGATTAGTGTGAGTGTGCACATGCAGTACTGGTCCCTGATGCTAACCAGCTAGCCTGCTGATGCTAACCAGCTAGCCTGCTGATGCTAACCAGCTAGCCTGCAGCTTCTCAGGGTTTTTTCTGTTTTATTTTCAACGACCATGAGACAAAGCTAAGTTTCCTGAGCTAACTTTGCTATTAGCTTACGTCTCTTTAGCTTCTGTTTAGCTAGCCCCGAACCACTTTTTTTCACCACACACTTTTCAACAATTAGGTGCAATTTCTGTTAAACATTTGCTAATTTAAAGCTAACATGGGCTTCTTTAGAGCTAACTCCATCGTGTGTTAGCATCGAACCTGTCGCTAACACTAAAAACAGAAAACTAAAATGAAAGGTAACTTTAGGTGACACTGTGTGTGTGTGTGTGTGAGTCATAGTGAACTAATTAAAGGTTTAATATTTAAACTGGTCACATTCTTTAAGAGGTGAGGGACAGAGAACACACACACACACACACACACACACACACACACACAGGAAACACAGGAAACACAGGAAACAGGAAATGAAAGCAGGAAGCCAGACGAGGAGGGAGGAGGTCACGTGACCCACCTCTGCCGCTCTCCCGGATCATCTGGACCACCACCTTGTAGTTGACGTCGGCGTCGATCACCTGGTCTCTGATGGAGATGTTGTGCTTCCCCAGCACCGTGTACAGACCCTCCACGGCGAAGTAGCACGGCCGGTCGTCGTTAGCGTCCTTTTTGTCGGTGAAGACCAGCAGGGCGTGCTGTCGCCAACCGAACGTCTCCTGGATCTTGGCGCCAAATTCCCCCAGCTTCCTGTGGGTGGGGCCGGTGTTGGTGACCGCTGCGTAGAGTTCAAATCCGATAGCGCGGGCTCCGGCGGTCACCATGGGAACCCCCCAGTGTGTGGTGAAGCGAGCGACCGGAGACGAGGAGTAGTCACACCCGGGGCCGATGAAGGCCCAGGGGTCACTGGAGATCTTCAGGTCCACGGCGACCAGCGGCGCCATGGAGTCGGAGCAGAAACCCTCGCGGTTTTCCGAGCTGCCGTTGACCAATCGCAGCTTCAGGCCCGGCAGCAGCCATCGGTCAGAGTTGACCCTGCGCACCGCCTGGTGCAGAGCAGGCGCCACCCGTGGCCACGCCCACGCGTAGTCTGTGTTGGTGAGAGGCAAGATGGCCGCCAGAGTCACCTCCTGGAGATCTGTGGTACTGCGATCCCCAGCTGACCGTGGGAGGAGCAGGACGAGGAGCGGGAGGAGGTGCAGGAGGACGTGACTCCTGGACCACATGGCGTGGGCGGTCAGAGTCTGTGTGGACAGGAAAAGGACAGGAAAGGTTCAGGCTGCAGTTCCTCCCTGGCCTGTAGGTGGAGCTACAAGGTTTAAAAGTCTAAACCTGTGACGTGGACCAGATGACGACATTCGGACCAGTGACTGACTGTCCGCTGGACGGGAGACGTGGACATTCAGGACACTTAGCACCGTGTTAGCCAGATGCTAGCACGCAGGGATGTGTGACTGTCGCTATACGTTCATGTTAGCCAGCTCGTACCGTGTCCGCGACCTGCAGCCGTGTGGTAGCCTCAACTAGCGTGAGGCAAACCAGCGGTATGTAAGAGGTGTGCTAGCATCTGTTCTACACCAATGCTAGCAGTGAATTTTTACGTAGGATCCAAGCAACATATTGGCAGCGTGTTAGCTAGTATTTAGCGTATTATTTTTAGAGTCAATCTTTACCAAGGTTAGGCTAAGCTAACCGTCGGCTGACAGCCCCAGCACCTCATTACTGCCACCTACTGGTCGTATTTTTCACTGGTAAAATACGTAAAATGACAGAAGGCACTTTTTGAATCCCTCGGGAAATTTAGGAAATGATGAACGATCGACCACGTCCAGCAGGAGGTCAGACCACAGCCTGGTCGGAGCGAGAGAGTGTGTGTGTGTGTGTGTGTCCCCTGACTGTTGCCCCACAACACTTACGTAACACTGCTGGCTGCAGAGAACAATAACACACACACACACACACACACACACACACTGAGAGCTGATCCCTGATGTGGTCTACAGTCTACAGTCTACAGTCTACAGTCTACAGTTTACCGTCTACAGTCTACAGGCTACAGTCTACAGTCTACAGTCTACGGTTTACAGTCTACAGTCTACAGTCTACAGTTTACCGTCTACAGTCTACAGGCTACAGTCTACAGTCTACAGTCTACGGTTTACAGTCTACAGTCTACGGTCTACGGTCTACCGTCTACAGTCTACGGTCTACAGTCTACGGGTTACAGTCTACAGTCTACAGGCTACAGTCTACAGTCTACAGTCTACAGTTTACCGTCTACAGTCTACAGGCTACAGTCTACAGTCTACAGTCTACAGTCTACGTTCTACAGTCTACAGTCTACAGTCTACGGTCTACAGTCTACGGTCTACAGTCTACGGGTTACAGTCTACAGTCTACAGGCTACAGTCTACAGTCTACAGTCTACGGTTTACAGTCTACAGTCTACAGTCTACAGTTTACGGTCTACAGTCTACGGTCTACAGTCTACGGTCTAGGATGTCCCAGAGTTCACTTGGTCCCAGCTGGACTCAGTCAGACTCGGTTCCTGTCACTCTTTAATGTTCTGCTCAAAAGTTCTAAACACATTAGAACTCTTTGGTCCAAACTGTGGTTCACACGGAACTGTTTTGTTCTTGTGGGATCAGTTCCTGGATCAGTTCCAGGATCAGTTCCAGGATCAGTTC